TGCCATCCTCTCCTTGGGGCTCCCAGACCCACTGTCCGGGCTGTCCCAGAGCACAGTCCTGCTAACCCCCGGAAAATCATGCGGACATCTCTGCAGGACTGAGTTGCAACAGGACGAACCTCGACAGGTCGGTTTGGGATGGACATCCCACGAAACGGCCGCGACGGTCCAATTCTTCAGCTCCCTCCCCATGTTTCCCAAGTTCACATCTCTCTCATGACCGTCATGACCCGTGTACAGTATCAAGGCGTTCTCCCAAGCAGAACGGACAACCAAAAACATATCAAGCAACATTGAGATCTCCTCATGGATGAATCCTGACTGGCTCCTTGGGCCCCCTATTTCGCTCATCGATATCGCTCTTTAGCGTCGAACGGTTTCACCTAGCGGCGGAGCATCCCGCCAACAGATGTGGATCACGATCCTGGAGTCGGAACCCCAATCAGTAGCCATCACAGATTTTCTTGATGAGACAAGGCAAACACCCGTGAAACATGGAGATAGTCTGTGTGCTAGTTTGCTACCCATAGTCGAGTCTAAGTCTAAGTGATTGAATACGAATGCTTCAACAAACGCATGCAGCATGCAGCAGTTCTTTTCATTTTCCAGTTCATTCCAAGACACTCCTTTCGCAGTACTCATATTATTCTCACCGAATTGCTCAAAACCACGGGTAGCGGATACCCAGTCTTCGCGCGGCGTGTGCAACATCTGGAGATTCCTTCCCCCGGTGTCAAATCGACATGGTGACTGACAGATGGTGATATGATGTGAGAAGCTTGCATTCCCGCGTGAAACGGCAGACTTAGGTTCCCATCGAATGCTCCCTTCATGTTTTCGCCAACACCACCACCGAAACTGGAATCCTTGATGCCCGAACATCCAGGAAGGTGGACGATAGGTGCGAAACTGTCCAACAGACTGGGAGATTCATGTAAGTGGCTCTTTACCACCTGAGGACCTTAATCAACAGGTTCATGATGAAGTTGGCACCAAGCACGCAGATTCTCATCACCCTTGGCACTGCAACAGGGGGAATTGGTGATGCGAATGGAGAACGAATCAAAGAGATCTGCAGAGAGAAATCGGAGGTGCTGAGCACATGGTTCAGCATGGTTCTCAGCCCAAGCGCCTGCTTGAGCGAGTTCAAAAGGAGCGACAGCTGAACCTGCGTGGTCGAAGTGATGGACCGTCTACGACCACGGAAAGCTAAGAGCTCAGCACCCTCCCCAAACCACAAGTTTTGGAGAAAAACCAGGACAGGAACACCCTCAAAAAGACCAAGCTCTCCTTTGACTCATTATAGGCCTTAGATTTGTTGCAATGCAGTCATCCTGCGATACATTCTCGCAACTGATCCCTTTCCGCATGGTTCTTCTATCTTCCTTTCCGTCCGTGAAACGCACTGGCCATGCCACCCGCAGCTCTTTTTCTCCGGGAGTCCTGCCTCCAGCGCAGCATGGAGGGCTCGGAGCTGCCAGACATGGTGGGCCAGGCTGAGAGCGCTTGAAGGGAGAGTTTCGTTCGAAGCATCCCTTGGAAAGATCGGTGTGCATGTTGGAACCGAGGAAAGAGGGGGGGGTAGCAAAACCATCGACCCGATCAGTGATGGCAGGTGACTGTTCGCTTTTTTTACATAGTGGATGAATGTGGATGCAGACATGTTCAGGGCGCACTGAAGGAGATGTCTATTATTTTTTAGCGGCATGGCACTACACGTTCAATTGTTCGTCATGAGCAAGCTCGTCGATGTGGACTACTAGGCCTTTGTGAAGATGAGGGAAACTAATGCATGATAAATAGTATAAAGTGGATGTATGGCTGCATCCATTTGACCCCAAACTTAAAGTTGATAGGAAACATCGGTAACGGTTGGTACTCAAAAGAAGGGTCACTCAGGTTTCAGGTACATGCGTTTTTGTAGAATTTCACAATTTTTGGGCGGTCTAATGTATAAACGTTGAGAACCTCGATCTCAGTAGTAGCATTAGAGGGATTCGCCTTCAGCATTCGTTCCGACTTCAGGTAGTAACAGTAGCTTCGCCGCTGACACGCCCGTGTCACACAAAAGGTTGTTCCGTTTTTTCCAGCGTCGGACAGTCGTACTCATCCCACGGTTGTACTGGGTCCAACTGGTTGCTGGGTTCAACTGGCATATACGCCGTTCATATGGAGGAATCGGTTTGCAGTTGCGGCCTGGATGTTTTTCTTTTGCGTCTGGGTGGGTGTGACTTTTATATAGTCACACGGCCGATCTGGATATGAGGAAGGAAGTGGCCACTGCGTCTGTGGTTTCAGAGCAGATTGCACAATACACCCGTGACCAGTTTGAGGTAGGGATCCATCTCTACTATCATATACTGATACTATATTATCATATCATCATATCTATTATATTATATTATATTATATTATATATACACCTTCTATTTGAGTTGTGCAAACTAATCTGAACACTTACAGTATCTCACTATTTTTTGGGCCCGTGGAGAGGACAGACACACCGTGTTTTCTCACTGTTGCACCCGATTGAAGCGACTCCGAAAACCTGAAGGAGGGGCCCTGTCGCCAGCCGAAATCATCGCATCATGATATAGATGCACCCACCGATCCGTGAATTTCGAAAGATCCCAGACTGGACTAGTATGTGGAATAGTTACATTTACATAACATACATTTACCATGATTTGTCCCTTTCATTTCATGGTCCCATGTAGGTCACTCTTCCGTACATGGGTCTAAACACGCGAAAGACGTCCCGAGCGTTTTCAGCTGGAGCGGACGTCCAGGTCCTGCGAGAGCAGCACGCCGAGCTTTTGGAGCGCTTGGATGGCTGGCTTCACCGCTTGAATGAGACCCTTCAGGCGAGGGGAAGGGGGGCTTTGCCGCACGTGCCTTCATGGCTCGTTTGGGTTGGCTGGCGTCCTGCCCATCTCGAAGTGAAGAGCACCAGTGCCGACCTGCAAAAGAAGGCAGGTAAGCGGTGACTTTGGTGACGACGTAGAAGCCTTGATCGTTAGTCTCCAGGCATGATGCTTGACAGTTTCTCCTTCTCTCCTTTGTTTACTGTATATAAATATAGCAACATTCTGCAATCTTGCTGAGGAAATGGAAAGGCAAACTCCTCATAATTCCTCCAGGAACAGGCTACCAATTGTAATGCAATTTGCATCAGGCGTGAAGTTTTAGGTTGCTGACACATGAGAGAATCACTTCTTGGAAGTATTTGGACCAGTTGCAGATTCGAGCAGGGGGTGGGGATGCATCGCGAGGTCTTCACTATCTACACGCATTTTTTGCTTTGATGATTCCCCACACATGTATGTGGGTGCTTGCTATGGGTGCTCGCTGATTAAGGGCCCCCTGGGGGCACAACTTATATATATATAGAGTGTCAGTGTCATACCTCTGTCGCAGGACCAGCAGGGCTGCCGTAAGCTGTAAGCATTACTTGCCACATTCCTCTCTTAAAGCTTTGTATGCTGCTTAAAATGTCCATTCGGATTTCTTGTAAACTTATTCATGCCTCTATTCCAATCGGTATTTTTCGGATTCTGCATCTTCCTGTTATTTCTCATTATTGTTTTTGCATGCTCCCCCTATGGTTCTCTTATAATAGCACGTAGCACCAGCACCTGCTTGAGCAAGTCTTTTACCAATTCGCCTCATCATCAATCATTCTTGAGATATAATTGCATCTATATGTTCTCAAGTGCTTCTCTGCCTGCCTGAGCAGCAACTACGCTTCCTATACTCCCTACCAATTGTTGCATTATACATGTACTTATATTGGATCAGACCATCTCAATCCATAATGTGATCTAGATCAATATACCAAGGGGTCTGCGTAAACTCAGAATTCAGACTGCTGCAATCATGGTCATCATTATAGGGTTGAATTAACATCTAGAATTACCAGCCAATTCGTTGGATTACATAACATGTTGATCCCAGTTACATGGAAACAACAACAATTGAGCCACATCAAAAACCTCCATGAAGAGTTTGCGTCACGCAGTTGTCCTGACATACTCCCTGCGAAAGGCAAATCTCAAGTCGCGAAAGCTTCGAGAAAGCTATTGCAAAAGACATCATACACACATCTTTGTACTTCTTTCGTGAAAGGTCCTTCGAAAGGGCTGAGCAAATAGTGTATGCCCGCGAAAGGCAAGACTTTGGTCGCGAAAGGGCTGCGATAGCCTGTTGCGAAAGGATGCTAGGATTACACAGCCAGTTCCAATCGGTTTTCGTTCTGTGAATAAAGCTAATATAGAGCTATTATGTGTGTATATGTACATGTATATCCAACACTTTTTGTTTGTTATTTGTTGAGCAGTTTCCTCTTGATACATTGTGGTGAGTGGACTCGTATGCACAGTTGCATAGCTGTAATTATACATACTATATATATATATATATTCATGTGATGTACGAATATGGGTGGTGCTGATGTAACAATGTAGTCACTATATTTGTATGACAATCCATTGTTTTCATTTTTTTTTGACTGGTCACTGGTTGCTTGAGTTCTTGGGTCATGTTTTGAAGTCCTAACATGGCACAGGTGCTATATCTCCCGGTGGCAAATGGCCTGCGATACTGACAGAAAGAAGCATCCAATTGAACATCCCAAATCATGGCGAGCTTTTAGCGGAGGACAGATAGAATCGGTGCAGAGCTAAACAACATCTGTTCGGAGCGACATCCACTCCAGAAAGTTGGCGTTCCAGATGCCAGCTTCAGTTCAGCGTGTGCTGCAGTAGGCTCTCATGCAAAGGGCCGCGAATTGGACGGCAGAAGTGAAGACCCATATTGATTGCCAAAGGATTCCACAGCCCGAACATAGACTTGCCAAGACTAGTCCCTTTGCAGAGGATGTGTTCCGTCCATTCTTTTGGAGGAGCTCATATGGTAATCCCTATCAGGAGGCACTTTCCACTGGTTCTGGGATCGGATCTGATGTGCAGATCTTCTACACCCCAAACTTACCCACCAAGTTTCCCAGAGTTTCACCATGGTGGGTGTGAAACCGGTGGTTTCAGGGTTTCAGGTGGATGTTGCTTCTTCACCTGAAACCACCTGCATGGCACAAGTACGGCACCTTTTTTGGGTGGTCGGCACCGTGTACTCCGCCCGGCCTGCTCGCCGTCGCTTGCTCGCCAAGGCCCGCCATGAGTGGAGTCCACCAGTGCCCAACGAGCCAACCGCATCACTGAACTCCGATGCTCCGTCGCAGGCGCCGCGGTGAACGGTCGATTCGCGGAGGGTGTGGGGAGCGGTTGGGCTCTTGGGTGGGGAGGTGCCGGGTGTCCGGGTCGGAGGTGCCTTTTTTCGGGGGTGGGTTTTGGGGTGTCGGAGTCCAGCAGCCGTGGACAGCATGGTGGTGGATGGTAGGACCTGGGCTAAAGAAGCCAGCGGTGGCTGTATTGAGTTGGAGAGAGCAAAGCATCAGGGAGCTGAGGGGAAAATTGGAATTATCATCTATCAATTTATATAACTGCGAGCTGAAGTTACAGGAATTTGCAGATGATGATCTCTCTCTCTCTCTAATTATATATATATATAGAGCCGTGAGATCCAGTGTTGGAGCTGGAGTGTTGGCAAGGATCACACATGTTAAGGATTTGTATTTGCTGAAGGTCGCAGGGAAGACGGCGCCAAGGAAGACTCAGCGGCGAGTCCGCGCACAGGGTTTTGAGAATACAGACGGAGTCCGCGCCTGCCTGCGCCGGGTCGGTCCATTTGTTCCTTTTGACGCATCGTTCCCAGGGGGCCGGTGCCGTCGCTGGACACGGCGGACACGGCCTTCACGACTTTGAGGTGCTGTGAGGGCTGGGGCGGTTTCAGTTGGATTGGCGGCTGATGCTGTTGGTCGTTTTTGGCGTGGGGGTTGAAAGGACGTAGTTTGGATCTCCCCAGAACCCATGGGGTGCCAAAGAAGGAAACCGTGGGGATCATGGGGTCCTCAAAGATGAAATGGATTCACCTGAAGCCATGAGGGACTTCAAGACCCAGGATCCTTCATGAGGCTGTCAGGCCACCGGAGACTTGAAGCCTGGTTTCACCATGTTGGCTTCCTTTCTCCACCCACGCTGTCATACGTCGTCACCGCCAAAAGTAGCACTGGGTGGTTTCCCCACCCGTCATGACTCTCGAGCATGGCTAATCCATTGGTAAGAGCAACAGGTTAGTACAGGGAAACAATTCTGGAAAGCATACTTTCCGACTCACTAACATGGCATTGATTTTCCTACACCCTTGACTGTTGCTTCAGGCCAAACCAGCCAAAAGGGTGAAACCAACAGTGACATCTTCGAGGGTTGTCGGATTGATCAACAGATGTTTTTAGACTGGTTGGGAATGGCAGAACACATTTGGGTGTATAAAATTAGGGAGACCTCCCAGTTCAACTCCCTGGAAGAAGAACAAAACCACTTGGGCCAGAAATTCCCCCTATTCTCATAGCACACCCATTGATCAAAGAAAACCATGGAGATGACTGGGCCATACTGGGCCTAATATGTCCTAATAATACCTTTTGCTCCAAGGGCATCAATCAACTTTTTTCCAGAAAACATGTTTTATTACTAAGAAGCTTCAAAGACATACTAAAAAGCTTCTTGTTACTACAGGTGAAACGATTCCCACTGAAACGATTCCCATGTTTTTTGTTGTCCAGGCCGCCCACAACTTCCCTGGCCCCAACGGCCTCCCCGAGCTGCGGACGCGCTCCACGCGCTCGTCGCGCTCCTCCGCGCGGCGGCCGTCGATGTCGATGCTGTCGGATGCCAGTCTGGATAGTTTTCTGGCAGAAGAGTGGAAAGTGGGGATCATTTCGGAGAAGCCTCCAGGCTCCAGACCTGTTGAAATTCTATGGACCTAAAGTGAAACAATTTTTCATGGTGGGAGTGGGCTGGCGGTCGGTTGGTTGCACACCAATGCACTGAAGGTTTTGTGGAATCCTTTGGACTTGTCATAGTTCATATAGTGTGGGCATTGGGTTCATTTCCAACTGTGAAATTGGATTATATCAACAAAGTCCAGGAGGTTTAGGGTACTTTCCGGAATCATGATCCTCAATAATCTACGACATCTACTAGAGGAATGCCATAAAGCTGGAGTTTTCAAGGGCTCTCTGTGGGGAGCAAGCATGAGACCTAGGGATCTGATGCAGACACCAAAAGGAGAGGAAGGGAAGGGAAGTGTGAGAAGGGACAAGGCTACGGAGGGGAAAAGAAAAGAAAGGGAGAGACAAATGCTTTCAGAATTTATGGTCTGGAGGGACTTCTGGAGCTACATGAGTTTGCGTCACAGGGAAACCGCACATCTTTCGGAGAAATGGTTCCGGTAGTAGAGGGCTTTGGAATCTTGACTTGACAGTGTGGTTTTGTATATCACCCCTTTACTGGCTTAATTCGTAAGACCAACCTCGGCGCGTCATAATTATTGTAGTACATGCGCAGTGCATTGTTTTGTGTTTGTGAAACCCTTGGAATTATATACAGGGAATCCTTTGATTTTTACTAGCAGACGGCATGCGGCCATCACGCAAACGCATGCCAACGAGACTATGCATGATGGTGAAAGCCAGGTCTGATCAACCCGGTGTATTTGCTTTGTTGACTTTTTGTTATTTTAGTTTTGTTTAGTTTGTGTTTGCAGTTTTGTGTCTTGTGGGCCTCCAAAACTGTAGCGAGGGCCTCCAACCTGGTTGCGATGGCCTCCACCTACTAGCGATGACCTCCACCCTTGAATGTCTTGCAGTTGCGTGCCACCAACCTACTAGCTATGGCTACCAACCTACTAGCGATGGCCACCCAACCTGCTTGTGATGGCCTCGAACCTAAGAGCGATGGCCTCGAACCTATGAGCGATGGCCTCCAACCTACAGTACTCTTGTCTCTGGTTTTCTTAGGCGTTTATACCTAGCTCGCCGTGCGGCATGTGGCTTTCCATTCAGTACGCAATATCTCGAGTGTGTGAACATCTGGCCTTTAGGTTTTTTTGCAGGGGGCACAGGCCCATCGTGGATACCGGTGCCAACGAAGCTATTCCACGATGGGGCAGGCGGAGATTGATCACCTTCGGCTTTTGCTAACTACATCCCTCTCTAAGATTCCAGGCTTTTTAGGTGAGATTGAAGGTCGGCAGACGTTTTGACCTGTTGTGGCATCGGCATTTGAGACTCGCTGGACTCCGTGAACTTTTGGTCTCCTGGGCCTCGAGCCTTGACCTTTCAGGATGCGCAGACCCCCTGTATACATGCTTCAATAAGGCCTCTTTTTCACCTAATTAGGTTAGCGTGTGGGATCAGGCATTCACTTCCGTACGCACTTCCCGGAGTGTGTATATTATACACTTGCACGTTTGCTTGCTCTCAATGCCCTAGCTGACGACTACAGAGCGCAAGATCATTTAAGCAGGGTGTGTGGAGGTGGCATGTAGCAGACTTTTCAGGTAGATCAACCGGTCGGTCTCCTAGTGCCATGGCATGCTATGACCCACAGCCATGTCGGTGAGTGACCCATGAGGCCATGGGTCCAGTGGCCCCGGTGGTCGCCATGGTCACTAAGGCTATTCGCGTGCTTTGCGCAAGGGCAGCAAGGCGCCGGGCAATTGGAGGGACCCGGCCCACCAAAGTATATAGATTGTCCAGGGGTTGGGTGGGGATATGGCGCTTGGTGTTCCAAATCTATGACATAGACTGACATTTTTCCGTCACCAGACCTTTTGAGGCTAAGAGGGGCGCCAGCAATTCAAACATACCGGTTTGTGATGGTTAATTAGACTGTTCTGTTGATTTGAGGCTGCAGACGGCGAGTCATGTGCCGATAAGCCGATGCCCCGGTATACGTGTGGACCGGGATCATCCTCCGCTCCTGGCAGTAAGATGCCCCAAATTCTCCACCAGACATACCAGACCACGTCACCATTTGTGACTTACATCTTCCGCCACTGCCTCTGAAAATCTTTCGCGTCAGGTGGACACCTTCAAGAAGATCGTCTCAGAAGAGGCATCCATGGCCCAAAGCTCGCCCAGTGCCTGCCGGACGGGTCCGGACGGCGACGAAGAGATGCTCCTGTTTCTCACGAAGCGGTTCGTGAGAACGACCCCGGTGAGACCAAGAAGAATCCCCGCAAGTGGTCCCAAGTTGCAGAAGTCGGTGTGAAGCTTGGGACGGGGGCGACTGGCCAAAGACATGACCAGTGATGCGAGTGATGCGAGTGATGGGCCTTGATCCGTTGTCGTTGAAAGGGACAACAAGGACTTCCCGTCCAAGCGGATGATGAGAGCAACAAACGTTGGGCTGTTTCGAATCCACCCCTAGTAGTAGGGATGGTAAAGATGCTTGTGCACCACATATCCCCTACGACGGCCTGCGCATATGCATCTGTTAAATGTAGAAGACATATGGGACTGAGGCCTGGTCCACTATGTAGCTTGACCTTCCCGGTGGGTCAACCAAGGTATCCTGGTTTTGACCCACACAAAGATAGCTGTAACACGTCAGGACAGTTGACAGTATCGTCGACCACTAGAGACGCCTGACTCACGCCTCATTGCCCAAAGCTGAAGATCTTGGAAAATTGACCACAACTAGTTCTGGGTTCTGAGCCACAACTTCTGACGTAGGTGTGAATGAATCCACTTTTAGTGTTTTCTCCATAGATCCGTTTCTTCCTCCAGGAGATGGTGCGCGCGGATCATGGGATCACAAGCGGCAGAGGCTTCAGAACTCGGGTTCCTGGGGGCACCCAGAGGTACCATCCGATGCCATCCGATGCCCTTGGGCACAACACCTGAAAACAAAGAGCTTCGGCGGAACTCGGTGCATCGGTCATTCAGTTGCAAGATCCACCGGAAAGCCTAGCTCGGAACCGGTGGCCATACGGAAAACCCGTGTGATTCTCGGCCTGTTGGAGTCTTCAAACCTTAGAAAAAGGACCTGAAGAGGTGATCTTCAGGTGAAAAAAGGACCTGAAGACAGTCGTTCATCCATTTTCGGGACCGAAATCGTACCGCATGGAATCATGTAATTGGGTGTTTCAGTTTCATCAGGTTTTTGAAGACTTGAGAGTCACTCACTCGTCACTCACCCTCCACGAAACGCAGGTGATCTTCGCCATGGCCATTCTGATGAATTCGATCACCGTTTCTTGGGACCACTTATGAGAGGTTGGCTTCTTTCAACTGCAATCACATCCTGGATCATTTCCCAACGTCTCGACTTCAGAAACCAGAACAGACTAGATACCTGTGGACTCTTGGGTCGGAAGACTGTTCAAGCCAGCGCATTTGCTGGGAAGTCCACTCAAAACACATCAATCCACCGATCTTGATCCATAGGATGTTACCCCATGGATCAAATCCAGGTTGATGGCTACCCCGTCCTCCCCAACTGCACGTTAGTTCGACGGCAGAAGAACCGCAAGGCATCGCTGCACAGTCGTTGCCGTTCCATGCCGTTCCAAACCTTGTGAGTTACAAACAAGAAATCAAGGAAGGCAAGGCAACCGACACACCTCTCCAATCAATCAACGAATTAACCATCCAAAACCATGTGCGTCTTTGCTGTGGATCTACAGTTGAATCATGTTGAATCCATATCTCTATGTAGGGTCACCGCACTATCATAAGGTTGGCGTGGAATTGGAGTGGATGGCAGCGAACCCGGATGCTCCAGGCTATCCGTTCCTGGCTGCGAAGCTTGGAATTGATTACACGCAGTGTTGACTGTGAGATTGATTCACGCTCTTTAACACCACAGCTTGGTTGGTTTGGTGCTTTATTCACCCGTTTTCACACTTAATAAGTATCGCTTTCTTCTCACTGAATCGATCCCGCCTTGGCACCCCAGTGAACCAACCCGGTTCCTTTATCCGTTTCGGCTTCAGCGGAAGACTCGGTGACCTGATCGGTGACGAGGCCACTGGTATGCACCGATGACACGCCGCCAGCCGGACATCCCCATATTCCGCAAGCGAATCTGCCGAGTTCCAGGTCTCGTTTTCCTGAATTGTTTGCAGCGGGTGATTTTGCGCGTGCGAGAATCGAAGGAACTGTGTCTACGCTGTGGTCTTCTTGGTGGAGGTCGTGCTAGGACTGCAGAGGGTCTTTTTCGGTACCAAGACTTGAAGGCTTCTTTCAAGAACAAGGCTCTCCTTGAGACCCCTTAGAGACGATCCAACAATCAACATACAGTCCTGATACAAAAAAGTAGGGTTGCACCAATCCGAAGAAAAGCCATATCCAGGGCTGGAGTGCGCGGTTGGGCAGTCTCTTTGTCAGCCAGGACTGATTGCATTTGGTCCCAGGCAATACTTTTGCTCTCGTGGATGCCTCTGGAACTGGTTTCCCGGCTGCAGATAATTTGAAGTCGATGTTTGGACAGTGTGGGGTCATGCAATTATCGATGAAGAATCTGTGCCTGTACAGTACATATTCAATTCTTAAGATGATCGGCCGGCAGCAGGCTTCTCTCCTTTTCCCTGGATGCTTTATACTTAGACTCTTCTTTACCATATATTTCTCGCTTTTCCCTGCAGCTGTTTGCAATCTTTTCTTCGCATTTTTCTAAGCCTGACGAAGCCACTACATCGGAATGCAAACATCGGCTTATTCGAGAAACTTAGCCGAAGCAGCCCTTCCACTGCAGAACACAACTGTCGGTTGCTTCCCCTACAGTACACCTGTGAGATTGCTAATACTAATCCTAACAAATTTTGAAAGTGCTATTGCGCTCGCATCTGAGAATCAATCTTGGTTGACATGAAACCATAGGTCAGCGCACTACCTTCATGTCCATTCACCATCTTCCACTTTTGACCTCATCGAACTGTTGAACATCTCCTCGCTGGTGCTGTGCATTACACACCCAGTGAGTGGGTCAATCCGGGTCACTTGGGTCCCTTGGTTTCCTCGCTCAACGAGAACAGGTGGACCTTTGCGGTACACGTCCACCTTTCCACACAAACGGTCCACCTGGTCGTGGTCGACAGGATTTCTGGAGCTTCCGGACTTCACGTCTAAATCGGTGGATTTCGGACGTCGATGGCAGCGCCGTCCAGTTCTTTAAGTTTGGGAGCAGCGTTGATGGCACCGTTGATGGCACTCAGGCTGGATGTCTTCGTGGTCTCAACGTCGTGGGCTGAGCTGGTCATCGTCTTCTTCAGCCCCTTGGCCGGTGTGGTTGGTGGAAGATGCTGCGCAGAGGTCGCCAGCGTCCCCTCAAGATAGCAGGTCGCACAGACCCAGGAACAAAGATTGTAGTCTGGCAGGTTGGTTTGGAAGAGGCTAAATGCCGCTGTGTAGTTTTTGACCCACAACACAACCATTCTTTCGTTGTTCCACTCCAACATAGGTAGGAAATTGGTGGCACGACTCATTGGCTAGTATGTAGCTGGTGCGGAGGGAGCTAAGGAGCCAGGGGCCAGGGGTATCCGTATTCCCCATCAAGGGAGCCGAGGTGCTATCGGGAGTTTCCCAACTGATCCCAACTGTTTGTAGCCCTCATGGTTCATCGCCCCGTTCCATTTAAATCCGTGGATCCAGAACTTGTCTATCAGCATCGCTGTCATGGCTCTGTTTCAGAAACCAAATCAACACAGCTTTCAGGATGACCCCTGGTGCTCTCTTTCGCCTGGTGGAGACGAACCAGTGCACCGGGTGCGACCTTTCAAACAGCCGAACCGATTCATCGTGTGAGCCGAACTCGACCGGGTGAGCCGCGAACGGCGCACAGTAGGTTTCGACCGGGCAAGCCGTTCTGCTCGTTCGGTGAAGCCGTTCGCGCGAACGATGTTCGCGAGGCATCACCCCCTTCGGTGTGTTGCCCAGCGGCAGCTTGCGCATGCTGAGATTGATCAAGGCCGCGAACTCGCGGTGGAGCGCTCGGCGTTGGAGCTAGGTGTTCGCTCGAATCGCTTGGTTTGGGTTTCGGGTGGGCGTGAGGGAAGCCCTTTAAAAAATAGGAGAAGATGGTGGAGAACAGGATGATTCACCCCACTTAAGGCTTTACCCTGAGGCACTGATAAGCGAGAAACAGTGACGAACAAGACTGATGACAAGGGCGATCCCCAAGCTTGGACTCATCAGCCTAGTCTCGATTGAAGCAAGGCCATGAACTTCAGGATGCAAAAGATAAGATGAACTGGATGCGATGAATGGATAATCAGAAGACTACTTAGCTTTCCAAGTGATACTCCATGTATGGCATGTTCCCACAGGCATTTCGGTGGTTTGGTGGTTTCAGGGGTAGACATATATGCCATTGGGCCATACGCCATCCCCAAACCTTGTGCACAATATGTTTTGTTAGACTTCCCAACATTTTTTTGGGAGGCCGCAGTGATCCAAGTCATAGAGCTCGTCACTTTCCCCAGTGATCCTCTAGAGCCCCGACCGAAGTCCGACGAGTGCGCTGGCAGACCGTGCCGCCTCCAACGGTTCCCGTCGGTCCGGTTTTGTAGAGTTGGATTCGTTCAGGCCCTTTGGTTGAGCCCCCTTACAAGAAAACCTTGCAACGATGATAATACGGTCCGACACTGAGAATATTACAGGTGGGGAGACTTATGATAGCCGCTGGCCTTCACTGTCAGCCACCGGGTTTGTGTCGTCTACGCTGATTTTGCTTTTGTCGGCCTTTGTGGTCTGAAGAAAGTTTGAACATGTTTAGTTCGAACAACATTTTTGGTGCTCCCCTGCAGAAATACATGGAACCCCCAACGTACTTCTCGGTGGGAATCTCGGAAAACATTATCTTCCAGAAAAAAGACGGGTGAAAACCTCGGGTTCCACGGTTCCATGATGTTCCACATTGGGATTGTTGGCGCTTTGCGGAAGACCTACAGCCATTAGCTTCAGCGACAGACCTTGAGACCGAGCCCTCTACTTTCGCTCCGACAGAAATCGCCCCCATGTTTGTCGATGTCGGTTTGTTCAAAGAGCCAAACATTTGCAGGTGTCGGCACTACCAGAAAAGCGAGTTTTGACGTACCATTTGAGTGCAAGCAGAATATTTGGGTATGACTATGACTCCAGAATTGAACAGAGATCGAGAAACCTGAGTTGGGTGTTCATCCAAAATACCTCACTATCTCAGTTCCACCGTCGTGCATACTCACATCTGGCTATAGGCTATGTCGTTATTAGGCAGACCGACCTCCCAGGCGTTCGCTGCCGTCCCCCCGTCGAGGTCAGTCGCGTCGCTCGCGTGCTGCGGGTGCTGCGGGTGGTGAAGATCGTGCATTACATCCGGCCCTTGCGGACGCTGGTAGAAACAAGAAGCTATTAGTAACAAGTGCATCGCTACTAGTAACAAGTGCCTTACTAGTAGTAACAAG